AAGGGATGAAGGTTTGACTGATGTATGGATTTTGTTGATGTACCACCGCTTGAAGGTTACAATTTCTTAACAAGAACCCTGGTGGCACAAGAAATAGAGCGTTCGTCTCGAATGAGGTGAAACGGATTCGAATTCCACTCCCGGCTCGCGCCGACCACAGTATTAACGTAAAATATCCTCATTGGTAGACGGATCATAGGTTAGAGTCTCCTTGCCGTCAGGATAACCGTGGGAGGTTTTACTCTCCATGTAAAGCAAATGCGAGTTAGTTCCAACAAAAAGTGCTCCACGAAGGCAAATTTCTCTCAATACTTGATCCAGGAGTTCCCTTGTCTTCTGGATTGGGTTCAAAATGACGAAGGCTACGGAGTTGAACATTGCTAGTCGTCATCCCAGAAATTGGGTGGGCTGTGCAACGACGGTTATGAAATGAAATTTATTAAGAAAATCTGTCAATAAAAATGTATAACTCTGCTGATTCAGTATCTCTGGACATTTTGTTTGGTTCATTGAATGGAATGGATTCATTGCTATTGAAATGGCAGACGATGTTGAGTCTTAATTCTAAAAATGTGTACACACGTATTCTTGTTAAGAAATGGTAACTTTTGACTATTGCAAGCCGATCAACAAATTATTGAGTTTCTCATACATCTTTATGATGGTGGATGACAGTTTTACTACTAAACTAAAAGGTTTAAAATACTAACAGTGAGCTAGTACTTCTGAAAATTAAAGAAAAAAATTGCCCCAAAATTTTTTAAAAAAATACCCTAATCATTGCACTAGAGAGAATCGTTGCATTTTAAATGCTAATCTCATCAAAATCCAGTCCTTATTTATCTATATGAAAATTGAAACTTACTAATGTAGTTGATTTATTTTTTAAGCGTTTCAAACATTCATCATCTTTTGAAAAAATGAATCATTCATTTCAAAGAAATATCTAATTTTTTTGTGTGAAATCTTGGCAGCTATGTTTGAATTTTGTGGTATTTTCAGCCGATGATATTTGAAGTTTATTGCTTACGCTGGGAAACAAATTTTTTTGTTGCATTTATACAAGTACTCGATCTTAACGAATACGGGCGGGGTGATTTAAAATTAATTTTGTTCCGAAAACTAGTTTTTTTTTAAAAATTGTATTTTTAGTTTAAATTATTTTTGTCTGAATGTACAAGTTTCTGAAGAACGTATAGGTTTGTAAATACGTATGGACTGGGTCATCCTGAAAATAAGACAAAAATGTATGACCTTAAGGTATCCCATCACAAACTGAAAAGTATTATCTCTTTCTTCCTACCACTCCCTTCGTGGCAAAGAAGTGGGGAAACTTAATAGTCGCGCGAGTGAATTTTAAAAAATCCTGTTAAATGGCTTAAAAACTGTAGCTTGTAAAGAGAAACCGAATGCAGATTTTAATCCAACGACGCGAAAATTGAATGCAACAGAAAATTGTTCCCCAATGTTTTTTGCTTAATTGCATCTCTCTTTTTTTTTTAAGAAGATTGTTCATTTTTATAGAAATATTTATCTGAAAAACTGTTTTTATTTGAGAGAAATAATTCTTATATCTGTAATGAGCAAAAACTGTACTTTTTTTAATTCGATGTGTGATGATGACTTGATTAAAATCTCATTTATTGTTTTGACTTGCTTTGTTTTCTTCTAGCGTGTCACCTCAACCATGGTGCGTAGCGTTTTTTAAATGTGCTTTTTTTCATGTGTGTGTTTTTAAAAAATGTCCCATTTCGAAAAAGAGGTTTTTTTTCCCTACCGTGTCTATTTTCGCTGCAAAAGCGTAGTTTTCACATTGTTCTATTCAACGTTTTCACTATTCATTCAACCACAATCCATTTCGAGGTACCGTCGGTCCGTAACGTATGGTAGCACTAATCATATTACATATTTGATGAAATACTTGGGAGTCTGCATGTGCGTCTACTGAGCTGAGTTCGGTGAGATTCTTGCGATTCTGCTGCATTTCCCACCCTCTGATATCGAACCTAAAAATCTCTCGGTCTTTGTATGGTGCTAATATAATCAAGAAAAAGAGTTATTTATCAGAAACTAGCTATTTTGTCATGATCATGTAAAGTCTTTGAAAATTGTTTTGCATTTTGTTAATGTATAAAGTGCTTAAAAAAATTTTTTTTTGAGTGCTTAAAAAGTACTTTTTTTGTTGAGATATTTGGCTATGCAGCCCGTTAACCCTTTCGTAAGTTATATTCTCTAAACATGAAGAAACAAACAGTTCACGCATGAGACTCTTCCATTAATTCCCGGAATTCCGCGAATCTCTAGACTGTTATTTCGCGGACTTCCGCGAATCAATTATTTTATATTCCGACAAACTTTTACTGGTGTTCCGCTTATGTAAAATTTAAATTTACTTTTTTAACCGTCTTTGAATAGACGAACCAATTTTGGGCTTACGACTATTAATATTCAACTCCGTAGGCTTGTAATTTTGAACCCAATCAAGAAGACAAGGGTACTCCTGGATCAAGCATTGGGGAAAATTTGATTCGTGGAGGACTTTTTTTTATGGAACATGGCGAGCGGGACTCTAACCCATGATCCGTCTACCACTGAGGATATTTTACGTCAGCACTGTAGTCAGTGCAAGTTGGGTGCAGAATTCGTATCGATCTGCCATCGCTGCGATTCGAACCCGGTTCACCTCATTGGAAGGCGAACGCTCTATCCTCTTAGCCACCACGGCTCTAAATTTCGTTACTTATGCAAAATCTCATTAACGAGACTTTTATACCGCTGTTAGCAGCGCTCATTCACGCGCGATAACCTCTTTTTTATGCAGATTTGTTAGAAAAAAAACGCAACTTCAGATTAACTTCGAGAAAACGAGACTGGAAGAAAAAAAATCATAGCCATGAGGCTAAAATTAATAAACTGCTGAGGGAAACACAATATATAAAATTGATAATCTAAAAAGCTAATTCTGAAATAACAGACACTTAAAAGATTGTTCAAAAAAAACTTTGAGACGTATTTAACTAAGTAGCAATTTTGTTGCAGATTTAATCAATCTGATATATTTGCCGCCACCTCTACTCACCCCTGAATATTGGGTAAGACGGCACTTCAAGAAGATGCCACACATGTGACCTATGCCGTCAACGCCAGCTAATCTTTATCAGCAAAATGGCGTATTAAAGTTGAGCTAAGTTTCTCTACATAATTTAGAACGTGAAGTTAATCAAATACAGAGCAGTGTCGGTTATTGAAATATAATTCTTTCTCGTCTTTTACTTAACTTAGATTTATTATTTGTTTATGTATTTTATTGTAACCGTGATATATTTTTGTTTTGTGTACCTGGCAACTTGGAGGCATAATTAGTATCTTCATGTCCCACGTGGTTTCGTGTCTGATGTCTTTGTGTTAAGTCTGTGTAAATATAGAGTGAAAGAATCGAAACCTTTGAGAAGGAATCTTCGTGAAAGAATTTAGAATGTGTCAATTAAGTGGATTGATACTTGGAGAGTTTGACTTACCAGAAATAGAATGGAAAGAACAGTGGCTAACGTCAGCAAACGCCCCGTTCCAATAGCCAATCAAGATCGGAATACCCACTGTACGTCACTTGCAGGCATCCCATTAGATCCAATAAATTTTTAATATGATCATGATGCGTCATGGAAATTTCGAATCGCGCATTTCAGTTATCATTTTTAAACGTGCTCAATGCATCGTAAATCTGTGTTTCGATATTTTTTTTTTTCTTTTGCAGCTAATGCAATTTATTTTTTCATGGTCCGATATTATAATGATTGACAAAATTTGAATCACGCATTTGAGTAATCCCTTTTTGATACGCTCGATTTGCGTGAATCCATGAGGTCAGGGTGCGTAGCGTTTGTAAAAAGTACTTAAAGGGGCTTTTTTGGAGATTTCGTTTTTAAAAGCTTTTAAAGGTGCATTTTTCATCTGGCGCTTTTAAAAAGTGCTTTTTTTCCCCGAATATTTTTTTCCCCTTCAGTGATATCTGGTGGATCCCATGCATTTCATGAAAAATGGGGTGTTTGCTACGTAATCATTCACGCGGACTTCATGTCGTACCCACTTTATGACTTGCACATGCACGCACACTTGAAACCAGCACTTTTTTGACGTAGGGGGTACGGGTACTTTTGTTCTGAGTTCAGGGTCAAGCTGAATTCACTCGATGATGTGGATTGTTTCGATTTACGTCTGTTTCTTTCTTCTTTTTTTTTTTAGCGCTAAAACTGTTTATGAAAAGTTTTTGCTTTTCAATGATATCGCTGATTGAATATGAATTTTTTGAGTGCTTGAAAATTTTTGTAAAGTGCTCGAAAAGTTTTTAAAAAGTGCTTATTTTTGATTCAAAGATTTGGCTACGCGCCCTGGAGGTGTTTCAATCTTTTATTGCTGCGAATGTTTTTTTTAATCATTATATTGTTTGTACATTATCATTACAACTCGCAAAATTTAATTCGTGAATTTATTTGCCACGCAACGATACCACTTTTTTTAATCGACTTTTTCAGTTCTGATAAATTCACGTGATTTTTTTAATTCCCACATTTTAATTCGATATTATTAAGAAACGAGGAATTCGACTCACATATTTGAGTAATTACTTTTTGACGGAGTCGATTTGTGCTAAATCCTGTGCGCAGTGTTTCGTTCCAGTTAATGCTGTTGATTTTTTTAAAATCTCGATGTTATAAATTCACGTACCTGAGTATTTAGTATTTGGCGAGATAATTTTTTCAATAAATTATTCTGCATTTATTACTACAAATTTTCGCAATTGTTTTAGTATATTGGTATTTTTGATTGTATTATTATCACTCTTGGAAACGTACATTTAAAGAACCCTTTATTGACGCATCCGATTCGTGCGATTTCGTTGTCCATACAATTAGTTTTATTATTAAACTTGTTTCGATTATTGCCGTGGATTTCAGAGTTTGTTATTTTTTTATACGATGACGATTTACAAGTGTAAAAAATGAATATGTAACATTTTTTTATTTATATATATTCTTTTCTGTATGCATAAAAATGAGAGTAGCCATTTATCTTCTTTGTATAAAAAGTAAATACGAACTATAATACGAAAAAAAAAATTCAGATAATTTTTTCTTCCAGCAATCACATGTCTGAACAGTGTTTGGTATATGTATATATATACATCTTTTTTTTCTTCTTTAATTTCTGGGTTTGGCACAAATTTCCATTTTTCCATTCTTCATCAATTCTAGAACGCCAATGTCTGAAGTTTTCGGGACGGTTAGTTTGAATTTCTGTATGATTGCTGTCAAAAATAAGAAAACCTGCGCCATTGTAAAGCTTTCTCCTATGCAATTCCTCTTACCTGGAATTAAAAAAAATACAGCCAAACAATGTTGACCTATACTTAGATAAATTGCAGGGTGACAAGAAATATTTTGAACGCACTATAATTTTAATACTTATTAAAATACCAAGAACAAACTTTCGAATGACATACGCATAATAAATAAGTTTTCGAGCGGAGAGTGTTTTATTTTTTAGTAAGTTTTAATAGATAATTTATAAACATGGGTGGATGGTTAAATATTTGCTTGGATGTTAGCTACTTGTTCCTTTAGTATAAGTAGTCAGCCATTTTAAACAGTGCATTGTAACTAGAAAAACCCAGTCTAAGAGTTTTAACGTGATAATTATGTGACTGCCTGAGCTAGTGTATGAATGTGTTTTCTACTCTAGGGAGCGCTGCAAGCTCTTGACTCCCTATACTTCCGGGTTCCAGTTTTTGGTGAGTTTTGAAGGTATTTATTTGGCTCTCAACTTGAGCAGTATTTCTTGTATACGTGTATATAGTTGTTACTTGATTAAAAGAAAAATCGTCATTTGAAAACCTGACCTTTCAAGACGAAAGAATTGACACTTTTTAAACAAAAAAAAAAGACTATTTACCTTGTTAACACTATACCAACTTCGAAATTTAAACCTAAATGACAATTTGCAGAATTAAATTCAATCTCTCAGCTCGAATAATATACTACCACTAACGTATGATGGTGCACAGCTGGCACCAAGAACAAACAGTAATAAACTAGTAAAAAGGAGTCAAATCAAATCTATCAACCATGTCACCTTTTTTTAACAATGCATCTCTAAATAACTAAAAAAAAATTTCATTGCAAACTCATCAGGAATGATTAATATCTCATGAAGCACAGCGGATTTGAACTCAGAAGTTATATAATTTATTTCTTTTATTAAAAACGAAATTATCGCCTCGTAGAATAAGCTGGAGTAAGCAGTTGTATACTTTCTAATCGGAAGTAGAGCAGGTCAAGAGCTCGAGACTGATGCTATTTATATTGAAAACACCATCCATACCCATTACACCAGAGTTCCCCAACCTTTTTATCACCGCGGACCTGTCGAAGTTTGATAATTTTACCTCGGCCAGCTGGGAGGGCGTTGATTGTTTATTTTTAAGATTACTTTGATTTATTAATTTTAATTTGATTGTATTTAAACATGCCTTCGAAATAAAATACAGTTACACCAAAAAATAAGTATAAAGTGATTTTAACATACTAGAACGTTAAATCAATGAGAACCCTCAACATTTGCAATGAGACGGTTCCATATGGGGGTAATAGGAGACAATAATACATTACAAATATTAAAAAATTTATGTTACTACCTTCGGGGGCCCCCCTTTTTTAAAACAAATAAAATTTTAATGGAACACAAATATTTTTAATTTGGGGTATAAAACTAGGAATTTAAATTCAGTTGCAATGAAATGGGCGGCCCAGTACCATTTGATCCACGGACCGGGGGTTGGGGAACACTGCATTAGACCACACTCGGACTAGTATCAATTGAGGGCATTTCATTACGATCACTGGCAGTGAGTTGTACAGAATGCTGGCGCAGCACAGTAGAACTTATTAATTTCCGCAATTAAAGTTCCAACCCTCTTTAATTCGAAGATGTTGTATTATGATTCTGACATAAAAGCCAATCTACTTACCGACACCAAAACGTATCGGAAGTTCAGGTCTCTGATTCTTGTCCTCAGAAATGAAGCGCATCTCATCGAATGTCTCTGGTTTCTCATAAATATCAGGATCATGGTGGCTTGCCCACACATTCATCAGTGTGATGGCACCTTTAGGAATCCTGTACCCTCGTACAGTGGTTTCTTCTGAAAAAGGTTAACCGTGTCACAAACACTTAATCACAAAACAGTAGTTTTTCTTCATATTGGAGCCATACCATTTTAGAACCAGGCTTAAAGGAAAACGAATCACCCAAAATACCTTATGAAGTAATAATCAGATTTTTCACTCACCCAGGTGCAATTTTAATCGTTTTGGAAACACTAATTTACTATGATACTTAATTAGCGACACTTATTCATTCAATCTCGAATTCAAACAAGCAAAAAGAAATTTGGACTAAACACACATGAGAAAAAACCTTTGGAATATTTAAGTGAATAAGTTATAAGCTTTCGTTATTATAAACACCATTTTAATTTTCTATTTACAGCTCCTTAAAAAAAAATTTTTTTTTTTCAATAGTTGTATTTCTTTATATGGAGAAGTCTAAACTGACGTCACTTCATTTATCTGCCTACTGAATATTCATTCCTCTTGGATCCATCAGTTACTGTATTGCAACTAATAGGAATACAAATCGCCCGCATGCAACAACTGGTTGCCATTCACAGCCTCTAAATTACGCTAGAATATTTCTATTTTGGATCTGGTATGTAGATAGGTACTTTACTTACATAGCACTAGAGTTGCACAATAGGCTATTGGTGACGGTGAATATTCCTGAGGGTGATCTGAAGACATGCCATCACAATTTTGATCCTCTGCAGAGGGGATGGTTCCCCTGCTGTGGTAGCCCGAAGACCTGCGCACGAAGTTGAGTACTTTACGGTAGAACAGTTTAACGGGGATCGATACCACACGCCCTCGGTCCCCACGCAGATTGATAAAAAATATAATAGTAACAGTAAAAAATATTCATTTGGTGTAAACAAGCATTTGTTACTACTTTTTTCTTATATAGACCATTTTTTGTGGATGGACGTTAAGACTGTTTTTCGAAGGCATTTATTTTCCTTGGCTACAGCAGAGTTCAAATTAGGATTGAGCTATCAGAATGGTGTTGGGTTTTGACCTTAATAAATGAACTAAGCCGTGGTGGCTCCGGGGATAGAGCGTTCGCCTTCCAATGAGGCGAACCGGGTTCGAATCCCAGCAATGGCTGGTCGATACGAATTCCGCATCCAGTTTCCACCGACCACAGTCAGGGCCTGATTATCGCCTAGGCCCAATAGGCATGGGCCTAGGGCCCACAATTTCGGAGGGGCCTCAAAAATTAGCAAAAAGTTTAATGAAAGGTGGGCTAGCTTTGTGTTGATTTAAGTATTAAATAAAAAAACAGTGTTACAACAAACAGTATTAAATAAAAATCAGTAACTTGTAGCAAAAACCACTGATTTCAATTGTTTGTGGCCACCAAACTATTTTTATTTTGACATAAACATTGTTTTGTTGTTTTATATTTTGCTCTAATTTATAGATACGTAAAATTTATCTTAGAAAAATAATCTTCAATTGTCTGCTTTCAAAATTTCTCAGATTGTTTCTCTTGAATCATGCAGTTCAATAGATTCTTTTTCATTGTTAGGACTACTCTTCAGTAATTTAATTTCAAAATATCTTGTGAGGGGCCCAGAAAATTTGGTGGGCCTTGGGCCTGAATTTGTCTTGATCGGTCCCTGACCACAGTGCTGACGTAAAATATCCTCAGTGGTAGGCGGATCATGAGCTAAAATCCTCTTGCCGTCAGGCTAACCGTGGGAGGTTTTCTTCACCATGTAACGCAAAGGTGAGTTAGTTCCATCAAGAAATCCTCCACAAAGGCAAATTTTTCTCAAAACTTGATCCAAGAGTTCCCTTGTCTTCTGGATTGGGTTTTAAATGACAAGGCTACGGATTTGAACATTAGTAGCCGTAAACTCTAATTAGGTCGGCAGTTCAACGACGGTTATAAAATAAATAAACGATCTGTCACAGAAAATCGGGTGGTGAAGATTGTTACTTACTGATGCACTGTGCGCTGGGAAAGACAGCAAAATACTCTGTTGTGCGTATGATTTCATGGATGAGTGAGTTGGTATAGCGCATCTGACTCTTGTCTTCCAGGGCCGGATGTCTCTCCAGCCCAACGACTTCCTTCACCTCCTGGTACACCTTCTCCTGAATATCTTCGTCTTCCAAGACATGCTTCAGGAAGAGAGAAACGAAGAAAGCTACGCTCAACACTCCATCACCGACAAATTGTAATAGAGTCGACACCAAGGCCCTGTCTACAAAAGAAGAATAGTTATTAAAGAGTGGACTCCTGACTTCAGAAGATTATTAAAAGTGGATATCTATCTACACAACAAGACCATACACATTATAGGGCGAAATAAACAGTCGCCACCGGCCACAGAATCACTAAATATAAAAAATAATGATTAAACAATAGTCGCCACTCGATTTTTTTTTTTGTCGAAATTTACCCCATGTGCATTTTATCACAATTATTTTAAATTAATAAAGAATTTTTATGACTCTTATAAAATATCTTGAAAATTACTTTTCACGAAACTTATCGTAATTTTAGAAATGAACCTTGTAATGTTTACAACATGCTTCAAAAGAAATGACTTACACTATCGAGAGTTTCAAAAGTAAATAAAAAATGGCCACCCGCTTCAAAGGCTGGCCGCAATTACAATTCAGGTCAGTAGCGAAATTTCCTAATTTTGCCCTATAGTACACGTGGTAGTGCCTTTATGGAGTGCGCTGGTAGGACTTTCATATAAACCAAGTTCTGGGATGAAGATTGATTGAAATTGATGGAAACTTGTTTTGAGTTCTTGGTCCAACTCCTTGGGTGATAATAGAGCATGTTCGACTTTCCATCGAAGTTATTCCTACCTTAACCAATCAGCTTCTAAAGTTTTCAGATGACTCTAGGGGCAGAAATTTGTCGGAACACTACCGGGTTACTACTTCCGATCGATTTTTACGCCTAATCTTGAAAAAACTCACCATCCAATATTATGCTTGCAATGCTCACAAGCAGGTATCAGATCATGTCATTTTGTTGTCCGTTTTCATATATTTTAATCCAAATAAATTAATCTGTTGGTGTCTATTTATGTTATAATGATTTTATTTGAATTTATTTAGTAATTTCGAATACATGTAAGCAGGGCCGGATTTAAGCTTGGCGGGGCCCTAAGCTACTGAAAATGATGGGGCCCTTTTAAGTTCAATTCTATTTCTAACACCTAAAGTAAACTGTCGTATTTTTTATTGCTGAATATTAACATTATATTATTAAAAATTTGATAATATTGCTTGATTGTTAAATATATTGATTGTGATGGGACTATAATGTAGAGCCTTTCTATTATTACACATATTTTTTGAACGAGGAAAAAAACAGAAACTCATTTTAAGAACATCAGAAGCACAGAGTAAAGATTTGGCATGTTAGAAGAACCATTATATGTTTAACAGAGTTTTTTTTTCTTGAAATTCTGAATCTATGTTATTTGGAATTTTAAATGATATTTATTTATTTTTTTTTGCGAATTTTTTTTCTACATTGTTTTTTTTTTCTTGACTTTCGTTTTGCTTTGCTGCTCTATGACTTAGAAACATGAAATTATGAAGGTGTGTCAAAAATAAGCAAGGAGTTAGAAAGAACATAAGAAAATACAATTTGATTATTAGTTT